ACCCCCCCCCCCCCCCCCCCCCCCCCCCCCCCCCCCCCCCCCCCGCCCCCCCCCCCCGCCCCCCCCCCCCCCCCCCCCCCCCCCCCCCCCCCCGCGGAGAGCGGCGATGAATGAAGATGAATGAAGACCGACGACCATGAGAGCTGACTCGGGCGGTTCGTTATTATCACTTCTAGGTCTTTGGTGAGGAAGCTCCCGACACGCCCCTCGGCTACAACCTCTCGGCGGTGCGGCAGCAGCTCATCTCGTCGCTGATGATCCTGGGCGCCTTCATCGCCTCGTCCACGGCCGGCTTCACCGCCCGCTTCTTCGGGCGCAAGATTTCGCTCTGGCTGGCGTGTGTCCTCGTCTTCGTGTCGACGGCCATGATGCAGGCCTCGACCAGCATCGGCGCCCTGTACGCAGGGAGGACCATCATCGGGATCGGCAACGGCCTGCTCATGACCCACGCGCAGCTGTACATCCACGAGACCACCCCGGCCCGCTACCGTGGCCTCGCCATCGGCTCCTTCAACATCTGGACCTCGGTCGGCTCCCTCGTCGGCACCGTCATCGACAATTTCACACAGAAGGATCACTCCAAACAGGCGTACATCCTCTCGCTCGGCCTCGTGCACATCTTGCCTGGCGTCCTCTGCTTCGGCCTGTTCCTCATCCCCGAGTCGCCCCGCTGGCTGCTCAGCAAGGGCAAGGAAGCCGAGGCCGAGAAGGCGCTCAACTGGCTCCGCCCCCGCGGCTTCCCCGTCAAGGAGGAGTTTGAGCAGATGCAGGCCGGCCTCGAGGCCGAGAGGCTGATCAACTCCAACGTCGGCTTCATGGACGTCTTCCGCAACCCCGTCGACCGCCGCCGCACCCTGCTCTCCATCGCCGCCATCACGAGCCAGGCCGCGTCGGGCTCCATGTTCATGATCTCGTACGGCACCTACTTCTTCGCCATGGCCGGCATCGGCGACCCCTTCGCCAACTCGTGCATCCTGAGCAGCTGCGGAGTCGTCGCCATCATTCTCAACGCCATCATCATCACACGCTACGGCCGGAGGCGCGTCTTCCTCATGACCGGCCTCGTCATCTGCGGCATCTGCCAGCTCATCGTGGCTTGCGTCTACAACGCCGCCCCGGGGACAGCCCAGACCGGCAAGGTCATTGTGGGCATCTCCATCATCTACATTGTCTCGTACAACGGCGGCATTAACACATATGCTTGGGTTGCTGGTGGCGAGTTCCCCTCCCAGCAGCTCCGATCCTATACCTTTGGCCTCGCCACGGCTGTGGGCTTTGCAGGAGCGGTTAGTCCGGACCCTTCCTTCCTCCCTTCCTCCCTTCATCCCTGCCCTCTGTGTTTCTCTGTTGGCCAGAATTTTTTATTTTTTATTTTTATTTTTTTGGAAACATTTTGCTGACATTCAACTCCCTCCCCCCCTAATAGTGGCTCACAAGCTTCACTGCCCCCTACTTCATCAACCCCGACGCGCTCAACTGGGGTCCCAAGTACGGCTTCATCTGGATGCCATCGTGCCTCTTCACCGCCATCTGGATGTACTTCTACTTCCCCGAGACCATGAACCGCACCCTGGAGGAGATCGACGAATTGGTAAGCCGCCGCCTAACGCGCCTGTTATCTATCTCTCTTGTCCATGTCGGCTAATCCGCTTGAAAACAGTTCGAGGCGAAGGTCCCGGCAAGGAAGTTCCGCAAGTACCAGTGCACTGGCCCGCTCGCCCGCGTGCACGACGAGAAGGTGTCTTCTGGCGACGAGAAAGTGCGCGTGGAGGAGGAGGTCGAGAGTACAAGTGCCTGAGCGGATGGATGGATGGATGGATGGATGGATGGATGGATGCATCAGCAACGACGTCTCCCCCCCCCCCCCCCCCTAATTACGCGTTGGCTGGCCTAAACATAATATCTTGCCCCGGTAAGGAACCCATAGCAGCCATACCGTCCTGTTGTTCTAGTCTAAGTACAAGTAGTTAGTAGTAGAAGTAGTAGGACTAGGACTAGGACTAGGACTAGTACTAGTTTAGTTAAACCCCGGAATGAAGAATCTTGCTCGTTTTGAGCTTGTCTTCCTACTTTGTATCGCTCCCCTACGTTTTAACCCTGACTTCGACTTTTGATCTGAACATAGTATCAAATTCACTTCCCAAGTCTAACCTGCATCTAATTACATCCAATCTATTCACTACTCCTACTACTGCTACCACTACTACGCCGCCGACACCTCCTTGAGCACGGCGTCAAACACCTCCTCGGCGTGCTTCTCGGCGTCGTGGTTGGTGATCCACTCCGCCCGGGGCAGCTGGATGCTCTCGGGGTTCTCCTTGACCTTGTCCCAGTCGGCCTTGTGCCACATATCCCTCGTGCTCTCGCCCGTCTTCTGCACCTGCTTTACCCGCTCGTACCGGATCTTCTCGTGCGCCCTGACCGCCGCGGGGATGCCCGCCTTGCCGGCCCGCCTGAGGCAGATGGCGATGGTGACGCCGTCCTCGAGGGCCTGCGTGGCGCCCTGGGTCGAGGTGGGGAGGAAGGGGTGCGCCGAGTCGCCGAGGAGGAGGACGCGGGCCTTGGGGCTGACCCAGGTCGGCAGCGGGTCGCGGTAGACCAGCTTCCAGTCCACGAGCTGGTCCTCGGGCGTCTTCTCCACGATCCGCGTCACCAGCGGGTCCCAGTCCTTGATGGCCTCCTTGACCTCGGACAGCTTGCCTGGGAAGCTCCACGACTCCTTGATGTCGTGCGTGTCTGGGTGCGTCAGCACCCAGCAGCAGTCGGACCCGTTCTTGATGGTGCTGAACAGGAAGTGCATGTCAGGGCCGATCCAGCCGTTGAAAGTGTCGCCGTTGTTGCAGAAGTGGGCCGTGAGGGGGTCCGCGAGCATGTCCTTGTTGGGGAACCTTTTGTTTGGAAGGGAGGGGACGTTAGTAGAAGAAAAAAAATAAATAACCATCGCCCGGCCGGGGGGTGGGGAATAGCCGACAGTTTGGAATGGATGATGATGCTTACCATGTGCGCCAGACTGCATAGCCACTGCTCTTCGGCTTGTCTTCGTAACCGAGCACAATCTCCCTAGCCCTTGAGCGCACGCCGTCTGCTGCGATGACAATGTCACCAGTGACCTACGATTGCGGTCTAGCATTAGCCTTTTTGCTTTTCTTGCCCCTCATTTATTTGGGGGCGTTGGTGGGTTTCACTCACCCTCTCGCCATTTTCAAGGATGATACCGGACTGTTCGTCCTCCTCAAAGTACTGCTCAATCCTATTGTTGAGGTGGATGGGGATGCCCAGCTCGTCCCTCGCGTAGTCGAAGATGACCTGGTGAAGCTCGCCTCTGTGGCCGTTGTAGGCGGCCGACTCCTCGCTGTACCGGGGGTTCTTCTGGTTGATGACGATCTCTCCTGTGTCGTACTTGTGGATGTTGAAGCCGTAGCTGCTCAGGTCGATGGACAGCGCCCGCATGCGCTTGGCCACCTGGCCGTTGTTCCAGCGGTAGAAGATGCGGCCGGCATTGGGGCCGAACGAGATGATGTCGCCGAGCACCTTGAGCTCGGGGAAGGCCTCGTAGATCTCGACGTCGTGGCCATTGCGGTGGCACTCAATGGCAGCAGCAAGACCGCCGAAGCCTTCGGATCTTGTTAACCAAGCCTTTTTTGTATGAGGGGGCGGGGTACCGTCATCCTTAACTTACCTGCACCGACGATGATCACCTTGATGCCCGTCTTGCTCCTCTCGGCGCCCGTGCCATTTGCGGAATTCCCATTGGTCGCCATTTGAAGAAGTGTGTCTCTCTCTCTCTCACTCTCTTGGCTATTAGCTCTGCTTGCTTGCTTGCTTGCTCAGCTTGGAAACTTGGGACTTGGGCAATAAGTTAATAAGCTTAGGTAGTAGCAGGGTGTCGTTATGCAGAAAATGACTGGGAGTGCCGACTAAGGGTCTAGTAATCGGGCGCAGTAGTTCGCAGCCAGCCATGTCCAAGTTGAGGATAAGTAATAAACTACCTATGTATGCCGGCGCGGGCTTCGCAAAGACTCCGAGGCTAAGGTGTAAGCCAGGCTCGTGCCTTAACTGCCGTCGCGTTAGCATCAATTTTCCCCAACGACGAACAGCGGGGTAGTGGGTTGACATACCATGCGCCCCTCGGCAAGTTGGTCCCGAAGCAATGGGGGTGCAATTGGGGGCCACTGGGGGGCCACTGGGGGCCCACTGCGGGGTAATTTGGCCATCTCCAATTTTTTCTAGCCCATCGCCGGCTAAATTATCTCCCACAAGCTGCCTCCATTTGGTGAGGGCCGTCGGGGATAACATGGCGTTTGAGGAAATGCCGTGGCTTACTTGAAGTTGACAATACTCGGAGATACCTTCGTGGTGAGAATACGGCATTGAAGATTTCGCAAAACCTCAATCTCGTAACAATAGTCCGCCGTGTTTGTCTGTCTCAGAGAACAAGACCGAACCGGCCGTCAAAAATCTCCATTAGTAGAGAGAAAAGTCCTTGGAAGGGAAGGGGGCTCCTTGGTCGATACGATAGGCAGATTGAAGATTGCAGATTCCAATCCCGGCACGGTCAAACAAACACGAATAAAAAAAAAAATCAACATGACGTCTCACCCTGAATTCGGTCTGAGAACTTCGGGCTTCGAGGTGGCCAAGGTCTTCGCTGACCAGATCCGGGGAAAGACAAGTGAGTTGAGATGACCCGACGCCCACGATCATGACCATGACCAGTCAGACTGACATGGAATGCGCACCACCACAGTCCTAGTCACCGGAATCGGCCCAAACGGAATAGGTGGCGCCACTGCCCGCGCCTTCGCGTCGCAAGGACCCAGCCTGCTCATCCTCGCTTCAAGGACCCAGAACAAGATTGATAGCGTCGCGGCTGAAATCAGGAAGTCGTACCCCAGCGTCAGGGTCGAGCCCGTCCTCCTAGACCTCTCGTCGCAGAAGGCGATCCGCGACGCAGCCGCCGAGGTCGGCAAGCTGACCGACAAGCTGGACATCCTCGTCAACAACGCCGGCGCAGTCGTGTACGAGCGCCAGAAGACGGCCGAGGGCATCGAGCTCCAGTTCGGCATCAACCACGTCGGCCCCTTCCTGTTCACCAACCTGCTCGTGCCCCTTCTCCTGAAGTCGGCCGAGGCCGGCCCTGCCGGCGCCACCCGCGTGGTCAGCCTCAGCAGTGCCGGACACAGGCTGTCTCCCATCCGGTTCAGCGACTACAACCTCGAGGGCGGCCGTCCGATACCGAAGGAGGAGGAGCCCTTCTCCCCGCTGCCGCCCATGTTCGCCAAGGAGACGGAAGACAGATACAACGGCACCATTGCCTATGCCCAGTCCAAGACGGCCAACATCTTGTTCACCAAGTCCCTGCAGGAGTACCTCGGCAAGCGGGGCATCTCGCCCTACTCCCTACACCCAGGAAGTACGAACCATTCCCAGGCCAGTGGAAGCTACAGACACGATGTGCTAATCTGTGACCCGGAATAGGCATCATAACGGACCTGGGTAGGGATCAGGACGAAGAGATGGCCAAGGCGTTCAAGAGCGTGGCCCCGTACTGGGGAACCGAGGACGAGGGTTCGTCCACGACCCTCGTCGCGGCTCTCGACCCGGCATTGAGCGGTGAGTTTTGGCGTTTCCAGTGGTGCTTCCGGCGACGGGCCCGATGGCTGACAAAAAGACAACAGAAATCAAGGGAGTCTACCTCTCCTCCTGCCAGATCGCAGAGCCGACTCCGTTCGCCACAGATGCCGCGAATGCCGAGAAGCTGTGGAAGCTCAGCGAGAAGCTTGTCGGCCAGGAGTTCAACTGGGTCGCTTGACCGGAATGTAGCATAGAAGCATAGACAATGTTTAGATTTGTTTGCTGTAGACCTAGTTAATAATGAAAGATCTTGTCCTCCCTCCATTGCCTTGAAAATGACATAACTTGGGAGATCGTTCCAGTGGGGCGGGCACGTGGCGGGGCGGGAGGAAATGCTGCATGCAGGAGTGACAATTTTGACTCTCTGAACGAAAGGAGAAAAAGAAAAGCACCTCCGTGAAATCCAAGTGCAGTTTATTCTTCTTCTTTTCATTATTCCTATTCTTACCTGGTATTTACTTCTTATTTTATTCATCTTGCGTTGGACTCACTTCTCTTTACTTCTTCTGGGCCCCACTTGAATCTGGGCATGCTGCAGTGGAAACCAGACCCCAAAAAATGAAGGCATCCGACGAAGAGCGGATTGGAGACCTCCTCACCTGGGGCAAGCGCCACGGCGCCCAACTCCACGAATCCGTCGAGGTCTTCCATGATGACGTGGCGAAGTTCTCGCTCAAGGTCAGAGAGTCGGCGGGCCAAGGTGGCCTCCAACCCGGTTCCGCAACCGTGACCTGCCCAGCATCACTCACCTTATCCTTCGTCAACGCCGTCATCGGCGGCCCGCTCCCCCCTGACATCTCGACCGATCTCCCCTCAAACCCTCTATTCCCTTCCGCCTTCATGGACTCCCTCCCGCCGTATGTCATCGGCCGGTTCTTCTTGATGCAGCAGTACCTCCTGGGCAAGGACTCCTTCTGGTGGCCGTACATCCGGGCCCTGCCACAGCCCGAGCATCTCGCATCCTGGGCGTTGCCTGCCTCCTGGCCAGACGACGACATCGACTTCCTGGAGGGGACGAACGCGCACGTGGCCATCGCGGAGATGCAGGCCAACCTCAGGCGGGAATTCAAGCAGGCCAGGAAGCTCCTCAAGGAATCCAGCCTCCCCGGCTGGCAAGCCTACAACCGCGTGCTCTACAACTGGGCCTTCTCCATCTTCGCCAGCCGGAGCTTCCGCCCCTCGACCGTCCTCTCGGATGCACGGACGGCCCAGGTCGCCAGCGCACTCCCGGCCGGCTGCGACGCCGACGACTTTTCCGTCCTGATGCCCGTCTTCGACATCGCCAACCACTCCCCCACCTCGGACGTCGTCTGGGACTCGACGTCCGACCCGGCGTGCTGCCAGCTGAGGAGCCGGGATGCCTACCTGCCGGGCCAGCAGGTCTTCAACAACTACGGCATGAAGACCAATAGCGAGCTGCTCCTCGGCTACGGCTTCGTCATCGACGAGACGGAGGCATTGCACAACGACTACATCCACGTAAGGAAGCGGATGCCGGAGGACGGCAGCGGCGCGGGCGACAACCCGGGGGCGGGGACGAAACCAACCGAGTTTCTCATATCGTTGCGCCCATTGACGGACCCCAGCTCGCGGGTCGGCAGATCAAGGCAGAGGGTGGCCAGGTCCGACGACTTCCCGGTGCTGCCCGAATTCTCGCACGTCGAGGACTCGCTGATCTGGGACCTTGCGGCGGCTCAAACGTCGGCCGACGAGAGGCAGACTCTGGCCGAGCTAGTGGCCGCCAGTCCGGGTGCGTCGGGGGCCACCACCACTGCCGACGACTACCTGCGACGGCTGGTCAGCTCGCCACCAGACCCTCGGCTGCTGGGACTCTTGGCGAAAGTCAAGGGAGCTTTGCTGGCCAAGCTTGGGTTCGATTACGAGAAGCTGAAAGCTTCCGAGGAGGGTCTGCATCCCGAGAATCGCAACCAGGAGCTCGCGATGAGATACCGAAAGCAGTGCGAAAGGGTGCTGGAACGAGCTATCGAATCGCTCAGTTCCGGCGCGACCAGTGCCCCAGGCCAATAGAGCAGAGATGTTTTCTCCCGTATATAGACAACAAAGAAGCTAGACTCGACACCTCGCATCCGGATGGCAACTCCCGGGCAGGTGATATTCCTAATGATAAGATAGACGTTTGAGATTACGGCGCCGACGAAACCCAACTGGTGTATCGCCGTGTCCCTTTGTTTGTGGTCAAACTGTAACCAGGACCCATGCTACAAAGACGACACCTGGAAGGACGGAGCTGGAACTGAACCCACCCAGTCCGCGGCGAGCACGTCAGTCAGGGGCAATCATCACGACCCATTCAACACAGCATCATCATAACTTGATCATTAAACCCAGAGAGAAGCAACAGAGAGCGGACTCGATGGCCTCTTCTAACAATCTGACAAGCGAATCATATCGACATAAGCCTATGGAAACCCCCCCATACTCGGACTCCCTATGCCAGGAACAAGTCGACCGCGACCGATATGGCGGGTAGTAAATAGGTCGACAGCAAAAAAATAGAAAAAAACATTCTCTGGGTATTTCCCAAGCAAGATACAAACAACAAAACAGCTCCCCTGAACCCCTCGCCCCTGTTTCTCTCTCTCTCTCTCTCTCTCCTCTTTTGGCTCCGTCTTCATATCCATCTCGTAAGATAAAACAAAAGCCAAACAAAGACCAACACAGCCACACATCAACCAACCGTCCTCGTCCTGCGCTTAGGAGCCGGTGTCCCGTTGGCGCTCATGCCAAGGCTAGCGATCTTGCTCCGCCGGGTAGCCATCCTGACCACAGAGGACGACGACGACGACGACGACGAAGCAGCCGAAGACGACGGCGCCGACCTCTTGGCCGGCTGCTGCACCGGCGGCAGCTTCTCCACCGCCTTGGGCCCTGCCACGCCCTTATTTCTGATGGGCGTGGGCATCTGCAGCCTCGACGTCCTCGTGCGCTTGGGCGGAGGCTTCTTCGCGGGTGGCTGCTCGGGCTGCTGCTCAACCTGCGGCTCGGGCTGCTGCTCGGGTTCCCGCGCCGCCTCCTCCGGTGCAGCTGCTGCTGCCGCGGCTGGCGGCGCGCCCTGCTCGTCCGGTTCTCCCACGGGGCCGCATGTCGCCACCGCCGCCGTCTCACAGTTCGTGATGCAGGCCGCCATCGGCTTGTTGGGCGCAGGTGGAGCGGGGCAATCGCCGCCGTCGCCCTGGAACCTTGCCAGCTCCTCCGCCCAGCGCACCCCCTTCGCGATCCGCACCCTCCTCCTGCTGCTGCTGCTGCTGGTGCCGCTGGTGCCCGCGGCCGCATCCGCGTCGCCCGCGGCAGCCTCGGCCTCCCTGCCCTCCCTCGCGTCGAAGACGCCCTTGAGCTCGCGCATGCGCCACGCGGCCGGGTCCTCGGCCTGGCGCGCCAGCACTGCCCTGGGCGGGACGGACCCCGCCTTGTTCTTGCGCGTGTTGACCCGCGTCACGGCCGCCAGGTCCTTCTCTTCGCTCCGGCTCTTGGGGATCACGATGGCCGGCATGTCCCTGTCCAGGTCCGACATCATGCCCGACGACCCGGGCAGCCGGACGGGGATCATGGAGAGCGCCACCGAGTTGGCCGATGGCGCCGGCGGCTTGAGCTGCACGCGAGTGCTGCGGGACCGCGTTGATCGGCGGAGCCCGCTATCGGCGGCATCCGCGTCGGGTTCGACAAGAGACATGGACTGGTCGAGCGTGGTCTCGAGCTCGGCATCCAGGCGCTTGCGGCGCCGCTTGCTCTTGGGAAGCGGGGATGACTCCTCGGAAAACAGAGTCGCCTTGCCCTTGAAGTAATCGTCTTTCCCCACCCGCCCCTTCCTCTTCTTGGTCGGGCTCGGGCTGTTCAGGTCCTTATCGCCGAGGGGGACGCGCTTCGAGGGTGACTGGGGTTTGGCGATGGGGGACCCTGTCGTCGATGCTGTGGATCCGGTCGACCCAGACCGACGTTTCGGCCGAAGATTCCTCCTCGCCAGAGCTGCGGCTGCCGCCGCTTTGGCGCTCTTGTCGGCCTTGACCCGCGTCACGAACTTCCGGAGCATCTCGGTCTCGGAGTCTTCTTGAAGCGTGACCGGGTCATTGTCGGGCAGTATCATGTTGCCTGCTATATTCGTAGTGGGGTCCTCGATAGGCACCGTCGGCTCGTAATCCATCGCCGTAACAATCCCGTCGGTCTGGGTATCCTCGAGATCGTCAACCTCTAGGGCAATGCTGTCGGCATCATTGGAGCCCAGTTCGGGAGCAGGGTCCAGCGGCGAGGCTCGGCGATCATTAATGGGTGTGAATTCCGTATTTGGCGCGGGTGGAGTCTCTGTAACAGTCTCGGCCTCTCCATCTGTGACATCGGTTTCGGCAATAGTATCCCTTGGCGGCGTGTCTGGAAGTGTCTCGTCCGTTTCTAGACTCTCCTTTTCCGGTGTCGCATGCGCCAGGTCTGTCATATCGAGACGCATGTCTGTGTCTTGATCATCCAAGTCAACGTCGAGTGCAATCGTCCCACAGAAATCATTGTCCGGCGTGACAATCGACTCGTCAGACGGTGTTGGGGACCCAACTGATTGATCCGGAACGTCTGAAGGGACTTCTTCTGGTGATGGGCCATCCGACATTTCGACAGTGTTGTTTGGTGAAGGCGAATTGGAGTTGGCAAGCCGATCGCAATCCGCCGTTTCAATAACCTGAACACCTGCAGCCAGGGAGACATCGGTGGTTGGCGCCACTGGCTGATCTTCACCGCTCGCGGCGCAGCCCTGAGAGCTGGACTGCACCGGCGCCGCCAGGTTGGTCGCAGGCGTCGGCGTCGACGACCCGTCCCGATCGTCGCACTCGGGAAAATTATCTTCGGAAAGCCCGTCATTCTCCGGGGTGGAAGGGCCTAACGCTGTCTGCTCCGACCTGGGATCAGGCATTGGAGACGACGGACTGGTGAAGCGCTGCTCTTGATCAGGCTGTGCTGCGTGTTCGTTATCGCCGCCAGTGGAGCCCTCATTGTGTGTGAAGAGGTCGGCATTGATGGTATCTGTGGCGAAAGACTCCTCGAGGATGGTGGAGAGACCCTCTGGATCGTGAGGTGAGAACATGTCGGTTTGCTCGGGGTCACAGAACGAATCGGGAATCTCGGCGGGTGCTGTGAACTCAATCGGGCTTGCTGGGTGGTCAACGACAGGATGCTGCATCTCGACTTCCGTCATCGGTGGAGGAGGAGTCGCTGCTGCCTGATCATTCGTGACCTCGTCCGTGACCGTTTGGTTCATTAAACCCAAGGCATCCGCGATTGGCGAAGTTGCCACAGGTCCGGTGACTGCGCTAATCTCTGCAGCCAACTGGGTGTCGCTTTCCCTTTCCACCTCCATATTCGAATCATATGCTGTGAGTGCTCCGCCGGCAGGAAAGCTCGCGAAGCGCGGCGTAGATGGTCCGGGGCTCTGGCCGAAAATGTCCAGATTGGTGCCGACGTCAACCACGACTGCAGCGTCCGAGTCTGCGCGGGGTTCTTGGACAGGAACCATTGGCTCTGGCTGCTCATTTGCTGGCGGCGATGTGACCTCCAGCCGAATGTCGCCCGACCCAAAACCGAACACGTCTAGCGTGTGTCGCCTCGACTCGGCGTTGGCCAGTCTGCTGCCCGTGTGCAAGAAACTGTGACGACGGCTTGGAGGCCTTTGATCAGCCTCAAATGCGGCAAGACGCCTCGCTCCGCTCGACCGTCGCCGATCAGACCGCCGTGCATTCTGCAGCGAAACACGCCTCCTGGTCTCGTGTTCGGGCTCAACCTGCAGGTTGGGAATCGGTTGGTCAAAGAGGAGCGGCAGTGGATCCAAGACCGAACGAGACGAGTCGGTCTCGGAAACCATGGAGTGGTCTGCCATATTTTCGTGAACTGGCGAGAGACGCGGCTGTCTGGCGGGCGATCTGGCCGGGGAGGAGGCTTCCAGCGGTGCCGCCAGCACGATCTTCGAAGGCGTGGCTGTCATGGTGAATGACTTCCGCGGAGAGCGGGAAAGCTTCATCGGCGACAATCTCTTCGGCGACCTCGTCATTGGCAAGCCCTTCTTCGGGGACACCAAAGCAATCGGGCTGCTCTGGACCAAGACATCTTCGACGGGGGCAAAAGACACGCGCCTGCTCAGCCGACGAGTCGACCTCCGCCTCATTTGCTTTGCGTCCGCAGTATGGGCAACATCGTCCGCCTCCGCTGAAGCCAGTTCCGCAGTCGGGACAATGGACTCGGTCAAGGGCTGCAGATCAGCCACCATCCCTGTCGCCTGGGTGCATGGTTCTATCGGCCGCCGGCTGTTATGTCTCTTCCTTGGCACCCATCTCAGCGCCTCTTCGGCAAAGGTCGGCACATTCGACTTAGTGCTGGATGCGACGATCCCATCGGAGGTGGTTTCTGCATCTTTCGCCTTAGATACCGACTCTATGGTCGTGTCAGCCACCCTCCCGCGAGGAGCGCCGCTCCGGGCCCGTTGCGGTTTATACGTACCCCTTGCATCAGCCAAGTCACATCTCCCATCGTGTGTCTCTGTCTCCCCAATCTTCTCATCCCACGATGCGACTCCCCAAGCAGGGACAAAGCCCGCCGCGCGAGCCCGCTTCCTGCTTCCCTGCCCTTGACAGTGCAGTTCGGTGAGTGCGGCCGCGTAGTTGCTCGTCACAGAGGCTGTCAGCAATCCGCCGGACCGTTTCCATATCTTGCCCCTTCGATTGGCAGCGGGGACGGCGATTCGATGCCACGGTTTGGCGGGAGGGATAGGCGGCGGGGCGAGGCACGCGGTGGGGATGGCAACGCTGGGGATCATGTGTCAGGCAAGCGTACTTTACGCTGAACTTGGGATGGGGATGGAGATGAGAATGGGAATGGGGTAGAAGGGAATACCTCGTCGATTGCCAGGTCGTGCTGGCCATCTTGCTTGGTGGGCCCATGAGCGCGGTGCTGCCTGCCATGGAAAGCAGTCAATATCGCGCCCGTTTGTTGCCGTCGGGGATTTCTCCTATAATTGAGGAGGGCCCCGATTCTCTCCTTTAGAATGTAAAACGGTGTAGTCGTGGTGATATTCTAAATGTCGAGAGACTCAAGTGTCGGGGATTGCGTAACGATTCTTGTGTGTGTGGGGTTTGGGGAGTCGGGGACGCGACATGAAGAAATTGGCGTCTCTCAATAACAGGCCGATGGGAGAGCGTCGCCCAGTACGACTCGTTTTGTTTACATTCAGACATTGGACCAATCATCATTAACGTCTTGGAGGAGTGGACAAAAGGAGTTTAGAGCAGATCCCTTGCCCCACTTATACTGGGCATTCCATTTGGCAACTCAGCACGTGACCTCAAATTTTGGCACGACTCCCCAGAGTCTTTTGGAGGTTTGACGATAGCACCAAAGCCGCAAGACAATCCATGACAGCAGCTAGAGAGCCAAACTGATAAAGGGCCTTTGTCCAGATTGAAGCAGGACAACTGCCTGTCCTTTCATTTGTTCCATAATCACCGGGCGCATCTCAATCGCAACCGACAATGTCGAACAAGACCCCCATCCGTCTCCCCCCTCTGCGCGTCCTCCGCGTTCGCAACGCCAATCGAACCGAGGCAAACCCATGCATGGCAATCATGTCCTCAGTCCTAGGTTGGTAACAGGCTGCCATTTCCTTGTTAACCCCCCTGACAAAAGCCGCTGACACCTATCCCCTCCCCCTTCCCAGCCTGTTGGGCATCTGCAGGATACAACACCTCTGGGTGCGCCACTGTCGAGCAGGCACTGCGCAGCTGCATGGACGGCCCCAAGCCACCATCGAAGCCCAAGAACGCCATCAACTACCATCTTTCTAGGATGCACAAGAACATCTCAGGGCCGCGGAAGAGGGATTGATAACGGGCAAGCAAGGCAGCCCTGGTTTTATTTGGAAGGGGGATGGAGGTTGGAGAAGAAGGAGCCGGGAATGAAGGTCACGAGGCACCCCTGGGCCAGTCGGCGCACTCTGAGCCCGCGTTTTCCTTCGTCTTGCTTCTCTGCAATCCTACATATTTCGACGATACGACGAGGCGCATTGGTTAGTGGACGACCGAGGCCCTGCAAGACCACTGGATCGATCGTGGATAGGCAAAGGAGGAGAGGGCGAGACAACTTGCAGATAGCGCTGTATTGTATTATACTGGAACAACCTACATAAGGCCTTGTTCCCACGGCTGAATGGCGTTTATTTGGCAGGGCATTGCGGATAGATGGGCATCAAAAACTGTATAAACACTGAAACACCGCATTTGGGACACAACACCGTTGCTTGAGGGAATCAGTTGAATTGCAGCGCTACTCTAAACGCAACGGCGCCAATCCATTTGAGAGAGCCATTAACCTCGTCTCCGAAAGGAACGGGCTGGTATTGTGGAATCCAAGATGGGGCCTCGGCCACCACGTATTTCATCATCTGCCATTATCATCCTCCGACTAGTCTGTCCCGAGTCGGCTCGACTCTCAGCATCACCTCGGGACCACCTCCAATGTTGCGCTGAGATGTGACGATGATTCTGGATGCTACCGCGACTGCAGCGGGTTTAAACGAGTGACTCGAGCTAATAGTTGCTCATTCCGACATCCAACCTTTCCCCAGAAACGAATGACGAGATGCGCCGATCCCCATGGGTATCAGACCGATTTTCTTGCGAGCGTGTCGAAAAGACAGCATCATCCAAGAAGTCAGGTTGCGAACATAATTCCAGGAAGTTGAAGGAACTGCAGAGGGCTCGAAGTCTGTCAAATAAACAAGAACGAGGTAAAAAAAAAAGATGCACCGGTCAAAAGACAAAAAAAAAAAAAAAGGGAGAAAAGGTGCTGCAGAAGTAAGCAGGGTAAGGGATAGCATCGGCGTCATGATGGAAAAGATGGCCATGCCTCGTCTGGTATCCGCCGTCTATATGAGGATAATTCGAAAATCCAACGCCTCCAATGCAACGAGTCGTTGATAAGAAGCATATGTTGCCAAGAAAGAAAGGGGGAAAAAGGGGGGCGGTTGGGTTGGGTGGGGGAAGAAACCGATTATTTTCTCCCCAAGGAAGGGGTGTCGCAAGGAAGGGTGCAAGCTGCTGTGATATCGCCCCAATATCGCCCCGAAGAAAGCGCGCGTTTCCTTCAGTTCATCTCTCCGACGCAGAACAGCTCAATCTCTCCAACTCCCCCAAGGGTACCGGCGGTATTTCTCATGCCCTCGCGCCACTCGGAGATGGCGATTTGGATGTCGTCATCGCTCTCGATCGTCACAAAGTCTCCGTCTTCGTCCTGGTATCGCAGTTTCAGATTGCCCTTAGCAATGCTGGAGCTGGTGAAGCGGTTTAGCTTCGCATCGATACGGTCGATGAGGCTCTGGTACGTGATGTTGAAGGCCACAACCAAGGTCACGTAGTTGCCGCCGTCGCAGTTGACCTTGACTTTGAGTTGTGTGGGGAGCGGGATGTCCGAGTTGGGGGATGGAAGAGGGTTCTGCATGGCGTTGTCGGGCGGTTGGCTGCCGGTTCCTCCCAACGGAACCATGTTCATGGTGCCGTTCGAAATCGACCCTTGCCTGGGGTATACCGGGTGCGATGGGAACTTGACCATGGTTCCTCCATAGTGCTTCTCCCTCTCTCGCTGCGCGCCCGGGGACTGCGTGCTTGTTCTGACGGGTAGGTCGTTGCGTGGGCTGCCGCTGTTGCTCCTCGGGATGGCCGAGTCGTGCCTCTCGTGTGCCGCGTGCAGGTGCGGGGGAATCCCCGGGACGGCAGGAACGGCCTGTGCGGTTTGCCGGCGCCCGTTCATGGGCTGGATGTCAGGCGTGCTGTAGGAGCGACTCCGTTGCTGCTGCAACTGCGAGGCGCTCTGGGACGCCATGGCGGGAAGCGACGGCCCTCGAGGATTCCGGCCATTTGCCGTCACCATGCCATACGCATTGACGGGACTCGGCCCGTCTCGAGATGGAGCGTGTGGCATCGCCGGAGCCGTGTATCGATTGTTGTCCTCCCAATTGCCGGGTTGAGGTACGCCAGTGGGGGGGAAGGGATATCCGTTGTTGGGGAAGAAGCCCGACGTTGTGCTGGCTCGACTAGACGCAGGGGATTCGGCGGTAGGGGAGAAGTAGGAATTGGCATTGTTTGGAACTTGGGAGCCTGGCGACTGTTGACCCGGAGTACCCATCTGCGTCTGGAGACTCAGCGGTGCCGGCGGTTGCGGAAGAGGGAACCGCGGCGGCGGAGCCCTTGCGATGCCTGCCATGGACTGTGTGCTCTCGCCCGTCGCCGACCGCGCCCTCAGGCTCGTGCTCGAAGCGGTGCGCGGGATTGTGCCTGCCATCACTTGGGGGGGGTTGCTTCCATACTGAGAAAGCGGGTGCGTCAACGCGTAGGGATCCTCCTCTTCATCATCATCATGCTGAGCATAAGGGTTCTCCAGGCCGCTGACTTGCGACTGCATCCAGGCGAAGTTCGGTGGCGGTTGGTCGGGGCCTTGGGCAGCCTGTGGAGCATTCTCCTTCCTCTGTTGATCGAGGCCGACGGCCCATTTCTTCATCATGCCTTCATTTTGGAACTTGATCATGAAGTTTTCCACCCCCGGGTCCCCCTTCCACCATATCTGTACCGTGTAGGAGCCTGCATTGTAAGCCAGGGCGGCTGCCAAGAGGGTAAAGGAGCTGTACTAACCCGTCTTTGATATCGCCACGACATCTGTGACGTTGGTCATGAAGATGCGACCCTTCAGCTGCAGCTTTGCGTTTCGATTCTGGACTTTGGGCCCGGTTGACTTCGTCTTGTCCTTCTTGTCCTTGCTCTTGTTGGGCGAAACCTCTTTGCAACAGAGCAAAATGCATTCGAACAGATAGATCTCGTACTAGACGCAAAAGGTTAGTCCTTGATCACAAATGACACACAAGGTCGAGGGGCCAAGTGGGTTGGGGGGTATCAGACAAAACCTACATCCTTCTCTTGTTCACTCTTTCCAGTGACGACCGTGTAAACCCCATGCAGCAACAGCTTCCCAAACTGCTCAACCCGGTGATTCTTCCAGTCATCAACCCGAGTCATGAGATCATCCAAGGCCTCGTCAAGGAGATCGCGGTCGACAGCCTCATTTGCCTTTTGCAGGGCACGTTCGGCAGCATTGATGCCAGCTGTTAGATCAGCCCTGGTTGCCTCGTCATCGCTCTTCTTCAGAAGGTCCTGTTCGCCGGGTAAGTTAGCACATTAAGCAACCATAGCTTGCCAAATGCACAAGCTGTGTCGTATCGCTGTGCGTACCTTGAGCAGCAAGGGGTACTTGACAAGCCGCTGCATGGGCTTCAACAAAAACCCATCCAGCGTATTGAAGTCACAGGCAACAGGATGCTCGGCAGACTGGATCTTGTCAAACATCTGGCCGGCTATCTGAGCTGCCTTCCGCTGGTTTGCGATAAAGGGTTGGTAAATGTTAAAGGAATCCTCGTAGAAGACAAAGGGCCCTCCCCAGCCCTGTCTTGCCTCGGGCATCGAGTTTGTCGTCTCGACGCGGATCAGGAATCGTCGCTGGAAATCCAGGATGGCGTTGATGTTCAGGAAGATCTGGTGGACTATGTCGCCGGGGATCACTCCCCGTTGTTCCAGTGTCTTCTTCAAGTCGTGCAGATTCTCCAGATCCTGCACATATTTCCGTTCTGTATCCACCAGTTCCCGTACAACGTAGTCTCGATAGCTCATCTGCGAAGTGGCACCGAGCGAATCATCTTCGGGATACGGCTGGACCTGGAGGAGCAGGTTCCGTTGCTCGGCGAGATCGAGGACATAGTTAATAACAGAAATGACCTGGATGGATTGACCATGTTAGCTCTCTTTGCTCTCCTCCTTTGGACATTCAAATAGCACTGCACTGCACTGCGACAGTTCCACCAGCCGCAGGCTTGGGATGGGGGCAAGTCACCTTGACAAAACCCGTGGTATCGTTGCCTGTCAGGTCGTTGATGATAAAACACTCGGACGGCGGGGGCTTCACGTCGTTCAGACACGCTCGAACAAAGTTGGCTATAGCAATCTTGGAGCGCTTCGACTCGTTGCCCATGGACTCATCCACGTGAAGCGGCTTCTCGGGTTGCAACGCGTTGTAGATGGTTAGCAGGGGATGGCCGGTCCGCAGCAGCCTCCAGAGTGACCCGACCGGTCCCCCATCCGATCCCCCATCAGCGCCCTCCGACCCATCGGGGACATCCGTGGCCCATTCGTCGAGCTGTTGCAGATATTCCTCGAAACCCGGAACCTGGGCCAGTCTCTGCTTCAGCAACACGCATATTTGGTAAAGGGATCGCGACGCATCGGCCTTCTGATTAATGATATTGCTAGTCGGAACGATCTGGCCGGGGGTCGAGGCGGCGACGGTCGTGGCGCTAGATAACGAGGTGAGGGAGGTGGTCGAGTTGAAAGCAGTCGAGCCAGAAAGCTGACTTGTCCGCGGCGCGCTGCCGCCGACGTTCATGCTATTTAATCTGGCAACACCGTCGGGCGTTGAATGGAAGAGAGGTGCGGTATTCGTTCTCATAAGGGGGGCGTAAGCCATCATTTGGTATCCATTCGTCGGAGACGAAGACCCGGAAAATGCGGCGGCGATTATCGACTAGATCGCAACTACGCCGCCTTGGGAATTGCGGACGATGGCGAGTCGAAGGGAAGTTCGGGGTTTGAGGTTTGAGGTTTGAGGTTTGGGGTCGCTGCAGGATCGCAGGATCGCAGGTAGGGTCGGTGACTAGGTGGCGGGTCGACCCTCAATATGCAACCCAAGATCGATCTCTGCCTATCTCTCGACTGCGCTATTCCCAGCTGCCTAGGTACCCAGGTGTCTGGCTTGTGTAAGACCTCTTTCTTGTTGCTTTCTTCTTATTCTTCTCCTTTTCCCCTTTATTCCGGCACAGCAGAATCGAGGGCAGGATTATTGTCACGAGGTGGGTTTTAAACGCGTTGTCGTCGTGGGCGTACTCGACCGGAATGCCAGCGGGAGCAGGCAAGACTGTGGGCGGGTTTTAGTGTCGTGCGGGTGGAATGGCTGGTGGAAGTCGCTCGAATCGGAGGGTGTGCAAGAGCTCGAATGGCCTCGTTTCCTCCCTCAGCGGCGTGGATTGCAGCAGGAATGCAGGTGTGGCTGCACCTCACTTCTCGGCAACGTCAGTCGGTGTATCTGTCGGGGCGAGGAGAATCGGTCGAGGGATGTCTGGGTGTCTGGGAAGATGTGCACCAATTTGCGGTCAGGTATCGAACTGGCTCGCACGCACACCACCCCCTTTGGCTCGAATTGTGGGGCGGGGGAAGAGGTTGGATGAGCCAGATCCCTTTTGGCAGGAAGGGGTTTACGGTGGGCCAACCGACTTGCAAGAGCGACGGGAGGGAGGGGTAGGTACGGGCAACTTTTGGTCCAGCGTAGCGCCGCGGAGGGAGGTACCTAGGTACATACATAAGGTACTTACCTTATTAAGCTCTTTTAGGCTGGGTTCTCCTCGATGTACGTTGTACTCGTCTTCCTCATCGAGGGTCCTCCCACCCAGGCGGTCTCGCCGCAAGTAGGTAGGGCTCATCTGCTACTGTTGCTGCTGCTGCTGCTGCTGCTGTTCCCGCTTTCTTATTCTCTTGCATCATTTGGGCTTTGGCATGGTTAAGACAGCATCGACTTTGTTTCAAAAATTGGTATCCTAAAACAGCATCGGGGCCTGGCTCGTTCGTTGATTGGCCACACGGAGCTAAACGGTGGGTCATGCCTGAGGGAACCCCGCGCCTCCACTAACAATTCCCACTGAACTCCACCCCTAGCGAACTGACTCGACTCGACAGTCGAGGCTCCTTTCGCTGATGCTGGCAGTTGTGGGCTAACAGCAGCGGACGGCACATAATGATGAGCCAAACTTAAATTCAGTATTCAGTATTCGCAAGTACCGAGGTAGTCTTAGGTTAGGTACCTTAGGTAGGTACCTAGGTAGGCAGTCCAGCTAGGTACGGAAAGTGCTGTGGCAAGCGGGCAGGTAGAAAGCAAGCATGCTGCATAGGACATCCATCCATCTCCCGTCTGTGTATCACCATGCACGCCAATTTGAGCGGTGTATATCAGTCGGATCATGAAGCACCACATCCCCGCAAGACTACAGTCTCACTCATCCCCGTGCCCTGTTGAGCATCTCCGGAAAACACATCGGGTTGCGGATGCAGAATCTCGTGGGGCGCGATCCAGCTCTGCGCCTGGCCGCATCGAGGGGTACTGCCGTTGTAACTTTCATGTGTGGGCTGCTCCTTCTCGTTCATGTTCTAGAAAACTGGGCCAAGGACTCCCGGGAGTTGGCGGCTGTTCGGGCCATTGAAACGCTTAAAATTCATGCAGATCCAAGGGCTGGGTCGGCTTCGTGCCGGATGGCATGACACCTGCCGCCAGAGCTTGGGCAGATCATCACAGCGGGTAATCCGTACATATATTCCGTACGGAGTACCCAACACAATTTGGAATCTGGATTCCGAGGGCCATAATTCTTGCCTCTATTCACCGCTCGATCTGTCTCTCCATACATAAAGTGGATCTCGAGGACGTTAGGCATAGGCTACTTTACCGAAAGCATTGTCTCTCTTCATAGAACCGTCTCTCGGTTCTTATTTAGCGAGGGTTGCTGTCTGTTAGGTAGGTAGGGACTGTACCTTGGCAAGAGAGGTGTTTACTGCGTAATTTCCATTCAAGATGTGGCTGGCTCTTGGAGTCCTGGGGCACGGAGCTCTTGGTGGCTCGTGCTCCTGGTTTGTTGATGACGGTAGGTTGATGGATGTGTGTGGAGGCTTGGCTGCCTTGCTGCCTGCCCAGGCAGGATCCATTACGGCACCATTACCTCTACAGGTACGGAGCGCGGTACCTAGGTAGTTAGGTGCAGTGGTAGGGTAGGACGAAGTGACGGACAGCTGACGTTCACCGCAATACAACAACGACAACGAAAAAGGAAAGCGGTACAACATTACTTTATCTTATCAAGAATAACGATCGACCGTGAACGAGAATTGGCCAGCAAACTGCGCTGCCGTGGCGCCAATAGAAATCCGCAGGCTGGGGAAGGAGCCAATAACCTGGTCTCGTTCTCTTCCCCGTCTCAGTTCAATTCCAGCCCAGCCGAAGTCTATCTAAACTCGCCCGCCGCTCTCAACCTCGCACCACCTCCGAACCATCCATTCCGGAATGAGAACTGCCCGTACCTAAAGATGGATGCTTTCGGGGCCCAGCAGCAAGATGAAGGCTATTCCGAAGACCCTCTGAACCCGCCCGCTTCTGCCTCATCTCTCAAACATGGATTTTCCGTCTTAGCATCCCAAAGACCAGCCGCCGAGTTCCCGGAGTGGCTAATGCGACACATCACAGGCCTTTCCATCCAAGAAAAGACCGGTAGGTGCCCGTGTCTCCCCTTTCGCGGGTTTCGCCCGAATAACGCGCTTATGTGCACCGTCTCGCTCTCTCGCGCCGGACTGCCCCGTCCGATGATCATCCTCTCCGCCAATCCACGGCCGACCAGCCGGGTTTGCAAACTTGTGACCATGACCAAGCATAATGTGCTGACAACCACCTCGCCAACAGATCTCGCCATGGCGCTGTTAAGCGACCTCCCAACAGGGCTCATCGCACAGGTCGTCCAGCAACTTAACCCCCGCCTCTACATCGACTTCATTCGATATCTCCCGCCGGAGATCTGCCTTAAGATTCTCGGATACCTCGACCCCGTCTCCCTGATCCACGTTGCCCAGGCATGTCGAACCTGGTACGAGCTTGCTATAGACAGGAAGCTGTGGGAAAAGGCATATTATCTTGAAGGATGGAAGGCAAAGAATGCAGAGATCGAGCACTGGGAGGCGAAGGCCAACGAGGACTCCTCCTCGTCCAGCATTAGGCGTCCACTCCGGACATCGACGTCAGGATCCGGTCGCACGCACAGGAAACGCGCTGCACCAACATCTCCGGAGCTGGACGCCGATCTCGACATGGTCATGTCCGATATAGGTGGTGCCTTCAAGCAGGAACCGGCCGAGATGGAGATGGGCGAGACGAGCATCTTTGGAGGCGCCGCCGAGGTCGCTCCAAAGACGGGTATGACACAGCACCTAGGGGAGCTGGACATGAACGGCTATTCCTCGAGTGCGCAACGCAAGGGCAAGGGCGTCGATAAGGGGAAGGCAAAGGCGGACCCCGCGCCCGAGATTGACCACAACGAGTACCTACTCGGCGTCCCGAAATCGACCCTGTGGATGTGGGATGTTGCCGACGGCAAATACAAGGTCAACTGGAAATATCTTTACACCATGAGACGGCGCCTCGAGTCGAACTGGGAGCTGGGCAAGTTCACCAACTTCCAGCTGCCTCACCCGGACTTCCCCGAGGAGGGCCACGGGGAATGCATATACAGCCTGCAGTACAACTCACAGTACCTCGTGAGCGGTAGCCGAGACCGGACGCTCCGGGTATGGAACATCCACACGCGACGCCTAGTGCGGCCCCCACTGGCCGCACACCATGGTTCCGTTCTCTGCCTGCAGTTCGACTCGGATCCCGACGAGGACCTCATCGTCTCGGGCAGCTCGGATTCGAGCGTCATCCTCTGGCGATTTTCAACCGGCGAGGTGATTCAACGACTTCGTCAGGCACACCGCGAGTCCGTCCTCAATGTCAAATTTGACAAGCGCATCCTCGTCACCTGCTCCAAGGACAAGACCATCAAGATATTCAACCGCAGGCCGCTGCGTTTCGGCGACCTAGGCTACCAAGGGGTGGATCCGGTCCCGCGAAACGTCAAGAACTACGCCTATGAGCTGCCCATGGACCAGCTCCCCGTCATCCCGCCCTACACCATGATCGGCTCTCTAGAAGGCCACGGCGCCGCCGTCAACGCCGTGCAGATTCACGACAGAGAGGTTGTCTCGGCGAGCGGCGATCGGCACATCAAGGTGTGGGACTGGCCCAGCCAGGTGTGCACGCGGACGTTCGTTGGGCACAGCAAGGGGATTGCCTGCGTTCAGTACGACGGCCGCCGTATCGTGAGCGGTAGCAGCGACAACGAGGTCAAGGTCTTCGACCGACATACCGGCCTGGAGGTAGCCAGCCTCCGCTCGCATTCTAACCTGGTGCGGACGGTGCAGGCCGGCTTCGGGGATCTGCCCTACAGCGTTGACGAGGATGCTGCCGAGGCCAGGAGAGTTGATGCCGAGTACTTCAAAGCCCTGGAAGCCGGGCAGCTGGACGATCTGGTGCGGGGACGGCATGCGCGCCGGCAGGGGAATGCCGGGTCAACGAGACCAGAGGATATTGCTGCCTACGGGGCGAAGCTGCCTCCGGGCGGCGGTGGAGGCAAGTATGGCAGGATTGTCAGTGGCAGCTATGATACGAGCATCATCATCTGGCGGAGGGACAAGGAAGGCATCTGGAAGGACCAGCATCGTCTAAAGCAGGAGGAGGCCGCGGCGGCTGCTCTACGGCAAGGGCGAACCCCACAGCCCGCGAATGCCACGGCTACTGCGACTCTCACCACCACCGCCGCCGGCCCCATCCCTCTGCATCCTTCGATGCTAGCGCCTGTCCGGCAGCCAGTCGGTCCACCAACAAGCACCGCTGCGGGACAATCGTCGGCGGGACCCGCGCTAGCAGCGGCCGCGGCAGCGGGCCCCAGCACAGCTTCTGGAAGGCCAGCAACACCACCGAACCAGCCCGGCTTCTCGATCACGCAGGTCGAGTCGCCCATCTTTGCCACCTTGACACCGTCATCCATCGCGTCGTACCGGCAGATGATCGATATCGCCGTTCCCCAAGGCCCCCAGGCCCTCGCCCAAGCGCTGGCGTCCTATCCGACAATGCTGACGCAGCGGGGTCATCTCCAGGCGGCCATCGACCGAGAGGCGAGTCCCTTCGTCAAGAGCCAGCTAAGACAGGCCGTCAACACGGCGCTCTTCAGGACCCAGTTTGAGCAGGCAAGGCAACGGAGAGATGCGGTGCGCAACCTCGAGAGGCAACAACAACAGACCGCCGCCGGCCAAGCTCTTGCTGACAGAGACGGCGGACAGGCCTCGTCGAGTGCGGATCAAGCGCAGATTCAGCAAGCCACAGCCACAGCCACAGCTGGGTCCTCCAATACCAACACCGGCCAGGATACGAACGCCACGGCAGCTGCTCAACCCACAACAGCTTCCCAGGCCATGGTTGCTAGCGCTCAGCAAGTACTCCTTACACAACAACACACGCTGCAGACGCTGCAAACAATGCAGGCCCATCAGGCAGCCGCCCAAGCGGCGGCGGCGGCGCATCACGCGCACGCACAGTTCCATGCCCCCGGGGCCGGGGTACATCTGCATCAGGTAGCTCCACCTCCACCTCCACCTGCACCCCTAACTGCACCCGCACCCGCACCCGCACCTGCACCTCCCAATCCCACAGCAGCACAGAACCACCATCCGCACATCGCTGCTGCCGTCGACGCCGCTAATGCTGCGCGCGTGTTCAAGCTACAATTCGACGCCCGGCGCATCATCTGCTGCAGCCAGACGAGCGTCATCGTCGGCTGGGACTTTTGCAACGGCGACCCGGAGCTCGAGGAGGCAAGCCGGTTTTTCGCGGCGGTGCAGTAGGGAGGGGATGGGAAGTAGGAAGGCCCGGCCTCTCTTGAGGATATCAGGAAAGGGGGGGGAACCCCTTAAGTGGGATGGGCGGAATTATCGGCAACACGGTGGTGGGCTGGCCTCTTTACTTCGAACATACATTCACTATTCAGGGTTGGCCACATTGATGCCAGGTCGAATCGATGTGCAGCAGCAGTCTTTACGGTACAGGAAATATTTCTTGGGGTTATCAGCCAGGACATTGTGTTTGGTCAGTTAAAACGGGGGGGGGGGGGGGGGGGGGGGTTCTCGGGTGGGGGTGGCCAACCAGCCGCCATACACGGGCACCAGGGCCCGTGAGTTGTCAAGAAGCGCGTGCCAAGCCAGGGGCACAGGGT